ACGGGGAAATAACCTCGAAATTGAGTTCTACAAAAGGGGTTTGAAAGCTAACATCCTAGAGATTATAGGTATGTGCTTAAAAATAATTTTCTTTTATGCATGAGGTGCAGAAAAATCATTTTGCAGAGCTGTTTTGTTAGTGTAACAATGTACATGGTAGATTTAGGTGTCTACTGTGGATGTTTTGGGGAGACCAAATAAATTCCAAATCATGCATGAGATAGCTGGATGGAAAGGTTATTTTATGAGAAATGCAAGGATGTAAATGAATATAAAAAAAATCATATGAAAGTGGTTTAAAAGGAAGACTTTTCCTGCTATCAGCAGGGAAAACATAATTATGAGACACCTTCACTGAAAATTGTATATCTCATTGATTTGTAATCCAAATCAAATCCAACTAATTTTGTTTGAAAGTTAAGACATTGAAGTTTCTAAAAATATGCTCATTCAAATTTTTGGAAGTACAAATTGGTCCCAACATTCACATTTATGCAGACTGTACCCGCTGATTTTTGAAATGAGGCCTCCTCTTGTTGTGACTTTTTGACTTGGCAAATGGGATCCAAAATGGACTTAAGATAACTTGTTGGAAAGATAAGATTACCTAGAATATATAGGTGAAATCATAAAAATCATCGCACATGCACATTCATTTCAGAAATTGAAGGAAAGTTGTTGTCATGACCAGATTTTCATAAATTGGTTCTGTAGAAGTTTAACATGCGCAATTTTTTAGTCTTGGGCCAAAAGCAGGGAAATTGATGTCCAAATCCAATTCCGTAAAAATGATTTGAAAGATAACATTTTAAGAGCTGTGGAAATGTGTTCAAAATAATTTTTCATGCATGTTTATGGTGCAGAATTAAAGTTTTGCAAAGTTGTAACTATGCTATCACAAAATGCATTACAGATTCAAGTAGCTCATTTTGTACATGCAATTGAATGATCAAACGAATTTCAAATCTTACTCCAAAAGTGGCTATGGAATGATAATGAAGTATATTATCGAAGGAATAAGGCCAATTTAAAATTGAGATGGTTTGGTAGATGAAATATGCAAAACATATTGCATGCATGGTAAAATACAGTTTTTTTTATGAAGTTTTGAATTTTGCACGCATCTCACTATTTTGTGCATATCTTGATCAATTGGAGTTAGATCAACAAGCCGCAAAGTGTGTTGAAAAGTTAAGACAACAAGTAATAAGATGGAAGGGTTGCATATCAGTTTCTCTACATGATATAAATTTTATAAATAATATCATAATTTATATTAATAATTTATATATATATATATATATATATATATATTCTAAATAACTGGTTAATGCTAATTATAATTAAATAATACAATGGGTTTGTAAAAAAAAAAATTTGCTATCTTACATTTTTTTATTTTAAAAACATTGCCTATATATATAACACAATTATCGTAAGAAAGTGCGTTGCTCGAGAGAAAACACACTGGGTTTGTACATTCATTTTGAAAACAACGGCTGGCTCGATAAATTTTTAATTAGTGTCATTTAAGATGCTTTTAAAAATCGCTACTTTTATTTAATATTATATATATATATATATATATATATATTAAATAAAAATATATTTAATTGTAACAGAAAATTTGGTTAATCATATTTAGAATTAATTACCTCAATTAAGTAATGAAAATCATTAATAAACATATTAAAATTTAAATATTATTTTATTATTTATTTCAAATTTTCGATTCAATTTGAATTAGTCAAATATTTAATATAATATCTAAATCCTACCTGTACCTATGATCCTAGATGAAACCACTGGAGTCCAGCAGTTTAGCCTATAAAAGTTAATGTACACTACATAGTATAGTTAAATATATTTAGTAAGTAGAATATTTGATTTTTTTTGCCCTATAAACTTGATAATACGACACTTATAGAAAAGAAACAGAACGATAAACTATAGATTACGTGTGTTTACAAGCTATGTAAATTTGTAATTTTTTTATAGTATTATTAAATGAAAATAATTTTTTAAATAAAATTCAAAATATATTATATAACTATTTTTTTAATTTAATAAATTTTTAAAAATAATAAAATATTAAAAACAACAATAAAATTATATTTTATTAATAGAGGACTATCTGAACCAGGTAATGCTTTTAACATTAAAAATTAAATTTTAAATGTTGAATGTAAGAAAAGTTCTACTTAGTCAGTAAATATTGTACGTTGTTGTAGTCTAGGGGTTGGCATCATGTAATAATCCGATCAAACTCGCACCGGGCTGAGAAGAAAAAATTGTACAATAGATTTCGAATTAATATTTTAAAAAGTTCAATTTATATGGAATTCAATTCAAATATGAAAGACACTTGTCCTACTATACAAGCATAGACAAAAGACACGTGAGAGAAGGAAAAAGACTTACAGTATTGGCATTTCAGTGCATTTATGGGATAATTTTAACGTAGTTTGAGGGGAATTAGGTGATTGATTATTTCTTCTTTGACCATAGAGCATACTCAAAAGGATTCAAACAACTAAGTCTGTATTAGGTCAAAATTTATAAGATTTGGCCTAAGTGAACAAATAGATGAAGTGCACACTCAATAAGATTCTGTGCGCGGTCGCACACTGAAATCTATGAAAATGATTTGACTATTAAAGAAAACAACTATAATAGTTCAAAAAATAAAATTGAAACTCTCCTATGGTCCATATTGGGTACACAAGTCAAACGATAACTGGCATGTTCACATTAAACTAGAAAAAAGTGTATAAACTAAAAAAAGAGTAGCTTGCTTGTGAAAATGTAACACTATTGTTTTCCAAGTTCCAATAATAAACTTAAAAAATCTCTGAAATCCATGGCTCCAAAAACGCGCCGCATCAAAGTCTCTGACCTGTGGCCTAACTCAGTGCCTGATCCTATCATTGATAATCAAAACGACAAGTCTTTGCATCGCTTGGTTAAGCGGATTCGGACTTGGACTGCATCCGAATCTGGGTGTTCTAAGTGTACACCTCCAGAGTCCTCCTCCATCGATCAGGGTTGCAAAGTTAATCTTCAAGAAGAGACCGGGTAAACCCAAATTACTCCTTTTTGCCTTTTTTATTTATGCCCAGAATCTTGATATTTCACTTTGAAACACAAATAATTGTTTATTTAATGAGTCATGACTTTTTACTTTTTAACGATTTTATTATTGAATTATTTTTAAAAGATTTAATATGTCCTCAATTGTTCATTTTTAATTTTATTATTATTATTATTTTAGTTTTTAATTTTATATCATTAAAAAATTAATTTGATGATAAATTAAATTTTTAAGAAGCTAATGTATAACAAATTCTTTTAGGGACTAGTATGGTGACGGTACAAATCCTCGAACAACTAATATAGTTAACTTTTATACGGGTGATGCACTTAACTTTGAAGAAATAAATTTCAGGGTTTATTCTTTTATTTCAAATACAAATTTTAGTAGCTGTGAAAATTAACTACTCAAAATAAAATTCATGGTATATTTGAAAAGAAAAATAGATATCCAACTTGTAAATTGTTTTCAATACAAATTCTTGGAACGATTTTTATTTGAAGATCTAATCCATAGCATAGCCACAGGTGGTCTCTGAATGCAGAAAGATTATCTGGATGGACAAACAATAATAAAGAGAACAATTGGCACAACAGAAAAAATAAATTAGCGGGCAAAAGAAAGATAGGTGATGTGAATGTGAACCTTGATGATAATTATTTAGAATGTTGGTGGCCTTTATTGACAGAAAGTTTGGACGAAGAAAAAAGTGATGATGATGATGATACATCAAATTCAGATTCAGATTCTGAGGCATACTCTGGACCCTCGTGATCTCAGTTTTTGATATTTCCCTTTTTCATTAAGCATGAGGGAATCAATGATAGCGAAATGTATATACACGGTCATGCATTAGTTCTTCTAAGCAACTTAAGAAAGCTTCTTCATGCGGTGTTACTTTTTTCATTAAACCAAAAAATGCCAATCTAAGCTCATGTATAGAGTAATTGAGTGTATTTTGTTTTTTACTTTGGTTAAATTCAACGTTGGTTTTTTATCAATTTTTGACAAATCATTGCAAGTAACATTAACATTTACTTTTAGACCATGGAAGATTTTGACAAAATTTTAATATATAATTTAAAAATTTCAATTAATAGTTAATTTTGATAAAATTTGACACAAATAATTTAAGAAATATATAATTATAATTCAACTGTTAAATTGATAAAAATTATTTAAGAATAAATGTAACTTACACCGATCTAATTTATATATATATATATATATATATATATATATATATATAAGTAATAGTTAATGATAAACTGTTATTAGTAATAAGCAAATAATGTAGTTTTTTTTTTTTTTTTGTCATTGGAAGGAGGAATGGGAGAGAAGATGTGGAAAATTACTAGAGACAGAATTTGAATCATGTCCTTCGTGCATATGTTATGCTGGCTCTCACCGTTAAACTATTACCTTAAAGACCACTTAAATAATAGTGTACACATTATTTTTTTTAACCCCGTAAGTTGAGCTAGACTGAGTAATACCATAATAGCCTTTGGTTGTAACAATCTTTTTCCGAAAAATAAAACTCTGGTTTTTTTAGTTTGCACCATTTATTATTTATTTTTTTAAGTACATTACCCTTTTATCAGAAATAAGATTTCAATATGTACTTTTAGTTTTCATAAATTAAATTCTAAAAGTCACTTTCAAAATTTATTTTTCAAAAGACGGTGAAAAAAGACATTCCGGACTCTTTTTTCAGGGACAGAAATTGCCGACTCGGGTGAGTTGAGTCCTAAGTTTTGAAGCTCAATATCCATTAATAAGCTCAGAATGTTATATAAGCAACGTTTTAAGAACCAAAGATGGGTCATTAAATCAGTAAAGAAAGTAGTTTACGGTTTTATACAAAGTGAAATTTGTATGTATTCAAAATCATAAATTTTGTGTCAGTCTTTTAAAAAGTTAAATAATTTTTAAAAAGTGAATTAAAAAGAAAAAAACGAGAACCATTCACATTGTGGGTTAAAAATTGTGTTAAACATATTGCTAGTATGTCTCTTCTTATTGTAAATATACAGACACCCTACCTTAAAATCAAAGGATTGACATGTTTGCCTTCAAGAACAAATTCATTCCTTCCCTTCCAAATAGCCCAACAAATATATACCACCAGACCAGAGATTTGGTTCGCATTTTCTGGATATACCCTTTTAATCTCCTCGAGTTTCTTGTAAAGCCAAAGTTGAAAGCTTTGAACTGAATTGACATCAATGCACCACTGGAAATCACTTCCAAACCAAAGGGGTCGTGTCCATGGGCAAAACAGGAATACATGCTCAAGAGTTTCAGGTTCTGTTTCACAAATGGGACACACTGGGCTATCTACAAGCTTCCTCTTGAACAGATATTCATATGTTGGCAAGGCATTTTGGCAAATGCTGAACATTAGGAGTTTAACTTCTAGAGGAGCTATAATGCTGTAAATTGCCAACCATAGTCTTTCTGATACACCCTGATAACTATTATTAGCTTGATGGTGGTCTATATGTGGTGACTCGCAAATTTCCATGCCTTGTGATCCACGACTTCTTTTGGGCGAAGGTCGAAAATTTTGGTTCAAATCTAGCTTGGAAAATTCGTCATATAATCTCTTCGGAGACTTTGGATTTGTGAACCGGACATCCTCCATGCTTGTTTTTTGCTTGTAAACATGAATTCCCATCCATTTTATGATTCCTTTCTTGGCTCTGTGGGTGGGCGGGAAAGCCCTCATACTTGGTCCCACGTATGAAACCTCAACATGATTCCACCCATCATCCCTATATACACTTTCTAATTCACCATTGTAGGATTTGAACAGTACATCAGACAAAAATATATGATACGTGACTAGTTTTGACTGTGCAGTAAAATGGCAATGCAGGTTTTGAATGCCATTAATAAGCAAGTGGAATACTGACTTGGGAAAACTGCCTTGCCTGTCCAAAACTCCAACAGCAGCTAGGGCTATCCTTGGAAATTTGTTGCGAAACCAGAAAGACAGGGATGGTCCCATAGTACAATGGTCGAACCATTCTGGTATCATTATTCCTGGAAGGGAAAAATCTGTTCCCCCACCCTCATGTAATCTCTGTTAGCCACAGTACAAAGAAAAAGTATCATGAACTATAACAGTTGACGGCATGTACTTGACAATTGTGTTTGTGAGATTAATACAAAATGAGGGCTATTGAAAATAACTTTGATGTACAAGATTACGAGTTATCAAAGTTGTTAATTTACATTCATGAACAAGATTAAGGTTGTATTTGGGTGAGGTAATTAAAAACTTTAGAAAATTGAAAATTTTAAGAAATTTAAATTATATCATTTAAATTTCTATCATTTTAAGATATTTTGTTTGAATAAAATAATTGAGTTTCTTACATTCTTAAAAAAAATAAAATCATCACTACATTTGATAAAATTAATTAAAAATATGAAAATTAAATTATTAAATTAACTATAAGTAAATAAAAATCTGAATGGGACACATAGTAAATGAAAAAAAAACAATTCCAAATTCAAGCTCTTTTGTTAGGAATTAAAAAAAATTATTTCAGTCTATTAAAAATTCCTACTAAAATTCTTAAATTTTTAAATTTTTTAAAATTAAAAATTCAAACAACAAATTTTAACCCGTAGAACTTTAAATTCTTTAAAAAAAATAAATTACTCACTTGAAATATCTCATTCATACACCATGTAAGAGTTATTAAAAAGGAAGCTAAAAAGTCACTCAACTAAAGAGCAAGAAAGTGTGAAATTTGCTTACATGGCTAATTGATGGATGTTTAAGAAGCTGAGATGGCGTCTTAAGAACTGGTGTCTCAGCTTTTATATATTACATTAGAGCAACTTGTTTACAATTTCGTATATGTTTTTAAAAGTAATACCAATGAAAAAAGTACGGGTTATTGAAAATGATATTGATGTATAAGATTAAGAGTTATCAAAGATTAATTTACATTCATTTATAAGATTAACAATTAAAAAGGAAGATAAAAAGTCACTTAACCTAGGAGCAAGAAAATGTGAAATTTGCTTACATGACTAATTGATAGATGTTTAAGAAGCTTAGATGGCATCTCAAGAACTCATGTCTCAGCTTTTATATATTATAATAGAAGTGAAAGTAACCTTACCTGATTCAATAACAAGCTTCGAGACTCATGAGTCAATGATGTACAGTTTATTGCCGAGAGATATTTTATCTTTGGGGGAACCCCTCTGATTTCTTGAAGCTCCTTGCAATTGTCCAAAACTAGATTCTTCAGAAAGTTACATTGACTGATGTATTCAGGAAGGACTTTGAAAGCAGTGCCAGTTAGGACTAGGAATTCTATATTGGGGAAGCAGCCAGGTGTCAAATCATGGTAGTTTAATGTAATATCCTTGAAAGATTCTGATGATCCCAATCCTTTTTGTTTTTCACTTTTACCAAGGACCAAATTTACATAGCGTCCACATTTTACAGCTGTCAATCTCTCAAGTTTTGGTAACACCAAAATAGTAATTGGGATCTGATTAAGCATCTTGCATTTATCCAGCACTAAATACTTAAGCCCAGTGAGATTCCTAAACGAAAATGGCAATTCTTCTATAGCAGTTCCACACAGATCAATATTTTTTACGTGTTTCATTTCTTCTAATACTTTTGGCAAAAGGCGGAGAGTTGAGCATTTTCTGAGAGACAGATATTCAAGTGATGTTAACTTGAAGCTGTGGGGAAGAATCTTTAGATTGGTGCATCCAATAGCAGTGAACCATGTAAGTTTATCAAGAAACCCAATGGAATCATCAACTTCTACTAAATTCTTGCAGTTATCAAGACACAGTTTCCTTAAATTTTGGGCTCCAGACATATCAGGTACACGTGTGATTTTGCTCCCCCTTAAAACCATTTCAGTCAATGACTTGAACTTCTGTTAACCAAAACCTAAAAGTAAATCTTAAGAATTTCTAAGTGCGGTGTTAAATATATAAGACAAAAAGAAAAAAAGAAACATTTGAAGAAAAATAGCAATTGTACAAACCATGAGTTGGAGTTGTTGTCCCAATATTTTGCAACTGAATGATAAGTCTAACGTAACAAGTCTCCTTGGATCAAATTCAGGTGGCAGAGATGGTGAAGGATATTCCCACCATTTTAATACTCTTAAACTACTTGGGAGATGTTCAGGGCCTCTAGAAAAGCAAGCATTTTCAATAGTTAGTATTTTGAGGTTTGTCATCTTCTTGAGCTCACTTCCATTCCACCAAACTTCCTTGTTCTTTGGGAAGCGTAGCATGATCACTTCAATTGCATCAGTTCCCTTTTAAGCCAAAAGAAAATAACCACAAGTTACACATTAGCTGCTAGGAATATCATGTACATATTTAGCGAAGTTCAAGTCATAAAGCAGATTATTCAATTGTTAACAAATTTTATAGAAACAATTTTAAAAGAGAAGCCAAGAATCATTTTTTCTAGAACTAGGAATGGAAACAGGACAAGCTGCCTGAACTATTTACAAAGTCTGTTAAGCCTAACAGGCTTGCATATATATATATAAAATTTAAAAATAGAGCTGTCTAAATATGTTTAAATAATAAAGTTATTTAATAATATATTTTTTATATTCTTAATTCTGTTATTATTAAATTAATCAATGTTATCAGTATTGCGATACTTGCGATGCGAATCATGCGAAGCGTCACAAATCATCAATTGCACAATACTGAATCGTTGCCAGAATCGTTTTGGGATTGAATCGCTGTCGAAATTGACCGAATCATAAGATTTGATTCTGAATCGCGATATTTGAGTGTGAGATGCGATTCTTTTACGAACCGGATCGCGCACCAGTCAGGTCGGGTCTACACAACCCGGTTCACAGAAAACCCTTAAAACCTTTTTTTTTATTTTTTTTGCAAAAATTGTTGTTCCCACCTATTAAAGCCTCTGCGAAATTGTCCCTACCAGACTCATTACATTACCTTGAAAAAAAAACCCTCGTTTCTCTATTACTCCAACCTTTGTTTCTCTATTCTACAATGTTCTTCTCTCCCCTTCTTTATTTTTCTTTTATTTTGGTGCTTTTCATTTCAGATTTTTGGTGGTCCCTTCATTTATTTGTTGTGGTCCCTCAAGTTATTACTCATTCCCACGTTCTGCCCAACCTCTTCAATGGTTCCTACTTATTTTATATTTGTCTTTCTCCAAATATTTTTGTTTGCTGTTTGACGAAGACAAATGGGTCCTACCAAAAAAAATAAAACAGAGTGATATCACGTGGAAACATTGTGAAAGTATCCCCCCACACAGACTGTTAGTAAAATGCAAGTACTGTTGTCATACTTGTTACGGTAGAGTTGCAAGGATGAAACATCATTTAGCTGGAACAAAGAAAAATTTAAGTGTCTGTCCAAGTGTTACAAATGAGGTAAAGGAGATATTCGTCAAACTATTGAAAGAGAAAAAAAAGAAGAAATATGAAAATAGCTTGAAGTATTTTGAGAAGCTGTTACCCAAGATGCAAGTGGTCAAAAGGGAAGAATGAATTTTTTTGTTAGCAAAGAAAAGGAAGGGACATCTAAGGCTCTAAAGCAAACAACAATAAATACAATGTTCAAAGATAGAGATGTTGTCATTCAAGAAATTTGCAAATGCATATATGCTAATGCTTTATCATTCAATTTGGTAAAGAGCCCTCATTTTATTCAAATGTTGAAAGCTGTTGGAGAATTTGGTAAAAATTTAAAACCTCCTACTTATCATGAAGTGAGAGTATCTTTTTTGAAAAAAGTAGTTGATAGTATCCATGAAAATTTAGAGAAATACAAGAGTGAATGGGAGAAGTGAGGCTGCACTTTAATGTGTGATGGATGGACAGATGCAAAAAGGAAGATCTCTTATTAATTTTCTTGTTAACAGTCCAAGTGGGACTGTTTTCTTAAAATCGGTTGATACTAGTAATGTTATCAAGGATATCAAACAAATGTTTGAATTATTGGATGGCATGATAGAAGAAATTGGGAAGGATAATGTAGTGCAAGTTGTGACAGATGGTGCTTCTAACCTTGTGGCAGGTGGAAAAATGCTAGAGGAGAAGAGGACAAAATTATTTTGGTCCCCTTGTGCAGCTCATTGTTTAAATTTGGTGCTTGAAGATATTGGACAACTTCCTGTATTCTTTTAACACAATTTCAAATGCAAAGAAAATTATAACTTACATATATAGGCATACATGGGTTCTTAACTTATATAGACAGCATTCTAAAGGAAGAGAATTAGCAAGACCAGCTGTAACAAGGTTTGCAACTTCTTATCTTACACTAAATTGCATTATGCAACAAAAGAATACTCTTAGATCTATGTTTGCTTCAGAAGAGTGGGCTGAAGGTTTTTATGTTAATAAAAATGAAGCTAAGCAAGTCATGAATTTAGTTTTGAGTGATTCTAGATTTTGGAAATCCATTCAGTATTGCTTAAAGTGTGTGATTCCTCTTGTAAAAGTATTAAGGCTTATAGATGGTGATTCAAAACCAGCCATACCATATATTTATGAAGTAATGGATAGAGCTAAAGAGCAAATTACTAAAATTTTCAAAATCAAGAGTCAAGATACAAAAAGGTGTGGAAGATTATTGATACTAGGTGGAATTTACAGCTACATAGGCCTCTTCATGCAGCTGCCTATTATCTCAATCCTAGATAAATAAAGTTATAATCAATCTCTTCATGCTTTTACACTTTTTTAAAGATTGGATAACTTAAGTTTTATGTCTTATGTCTTCTTTAATTAGGTTTCACTATGACAAAAAATTCACTCTGGATAGTGAGGTTTTATTACCATTAAAAGGATGGTTCCAGATAGAAAAACAAGATTTTCTATTGATCAACAACTTGAAAAATTCAAGACTGCTAAGGGACTTTTTGGAATGAACATGGCAAAAGATACTAGAGACAAGAAGCAACCTGATAGTTTTAAATTGGTTTTTTCATATTTAAAGTTCTTTTCATGACATACATCTTATTTTTGTTTTAATAGAACTTTAGTGGGAAAGTTATGATAGAGAGTGCAAAGAGCTAACAAAAGTAACTATAAAAATTTTAAGTCTCACACGTAGTGCCACGAGTTGTGGAAAAAACTAGAATACATTTGATCAAGTGCATATTAAGAGAAGAAATCGCTTGGAGCAACAAAGATTAAATACACTTGTTTTTGTCAAGTATAATCTTCAACTTGATATGAGACAAAAGACTAGAGAAGAGAAGGGAAAAACTTATGATCCTATATGCTTGTCTGATATTATTGAATCAGATGATGAGTGGAGTACTGCAAAAAAAAAAAAAAAAAAGACCCTTGCTTACCAATTGATGCTTCTTGGATGTATATACATGAGTGTTTCACTTTTGATTAAGGAGCTCTAAGCAAGAAAAAGAAAAGAGGTATTTGTTTAATGAAAAAATAGTATAATTATCAATCCAATTGATTCTTAATGCTTTTATTTTATTTTATAGGTCCAAAAAACTTAAATGCTAAGGTCAATAAGAAGAAAAAATCTATAGTTGGAGATGAAAGTCAAATTGAAGAAAATCAAGAGATATTTGAAGATGGAGAGGAAGGAGAAGAACAAGAAGAGCCTTTACCATTGAAAAATAAAAATGAACTAAGTGATATTGATCTTAAGGAGGATGACTAGATTATGTATTTAGAATTTAGACCTATTGAATATGTTTAGAGTCTAGAACTAAAAATAATAACTTACTATTAGTTACTATTATTTTTTGAAGGTAATATATGACTGATGCAGTCATAATCTTTTCTTTTTTTTATGTCATTGTAACTAATTTGAAGGTATATATATATATGGATGATTTATTCAGTTACAACTTTTGATATCATTGTAACTTATATGCCTTGAATATTTGTACTATATTTTATTCTATTAATTATACAATGAAGTATTTGATTATAAAGTGTCAATATATTTATGTATTTAATTTTTCTTTATATTATATTATTTTTTATTATAATTTTAATAATAGTCATGAATCTTACTATTCATGATACGATTCAATTCAAAATTCACAAAATTAACTTTTTAATTCATGATTAAAATTTAAATCTTAATTTAACTACCATAAAATTAATATAATATGTTATAATTTTTTTATTTATAATTATAATAAATAGAAATTATATTCTATTAAAAATTAAAAATATTTATAAACGATTATACTTATTAAATAATATTTAATAAATTATCGTTAAAGAGTGATTAAGTTTTAAACAAAAACAAGACACAATTAAAAAATAAAATAATATTTAAAAATAAAATAATAATTTTATATTAATATAATTTTATATTAATATATTTTTATATTTTTAATTTTATTATTATTAATATTTAATTATTATATTAATATAATATATTTAATTTTTTTTATAATAAATAAAATTATTTAAATATGAATTATATTTTATTTAAAAATATAAATATAAAAAAAATATAATAAAAAATTTAATATAATATATATAAATATATATATATAATAAAACTAAGTAATAAATGATATAAATAATATAATTTTAAATAAATTATATATAATAATATAAATTTATGTAACTTATTAGTTATTACTTCTTTTATTTTATTTTTTTTATAAGTTTTTTGAGAATAGTATCTTATAAAAAAATTTAGAATACCACAACATACACTTAAATATAAATATATAGAATTTTAAATAATTATTTTTAACAAATTTAACATAAATGTTGATAAATTTTTTATTAAAAAAATATAGTTATTAACATACATTTAAAATTTAATAATATACAAATATTTATATAAATAAAAAATTATTAGTTAATTTATCAATTTATATATAATATATAAATATATATTTTAATTTATTATATAAGTAATATTTTTTTATATTATATTAATGTTATAATAAAGTTATTAATTTAAAATAAATAAAATTAAATATTTTGTAATTATTTTTTAATTTAATAGTTATTATTATATATATATATATAATATTAAGTTTAAATTTATTTATTTTTTAAAGTATAATAATTTTTTTTTAGCTGATTCAACAAATTGTGTAGATATTTTTTTTTTATCAATTTTATGTTTACTATGACTTTATTTGTTGAATATAAAATATTTTTAAACAAACAAATTTATATTCCTAATAAAAAACTAAAATATTTAATACTTTAATATTTTTTAAACATAAATCAAGAAAATTAAAAATATAATTTTTTTAATATAAAATTTATAATTAATACTTAAATAATATTTTAAAAATTGTTTATAAAATTATATAAAAATTATTATAATTTTTTAATAATTATTAATAACACATGAAAATTAAAAAATATATAAACTAATTTAATAATAAAATATTTATATTTTTATTAATATTAAAAAAAAATTTGTAGCAGGCTTTGATAACAAGCTTCAGGTCAGGCCACTTAAATAGGTCAGGTCAAGCTAAAAATACAGCTTTTAATATATAATAAATCAAGCTCAGGCTTAATAATTACAGGTCAAGTCTGTTTAGAGTAAAGTATGACCTGACTTGTTTCCATCCCTATCTAGAACACACTCATCAAAACAGTTACATCTAACTGTAAAAAGAAAACATAATGCACGTACCTTGTCATTTTCTAAAACTTCAACAATATCCTCATAAAACCATAATCTACTTCGTTTGCCAGGTTCTGACCGTGATTCCTGCCGAACAATTTCTCGACCCATGTCCACTACCAAGTTATGCATTCTTACAAAACCATACTGATCGATCTTTATGAGAGATTTATCAATCAACACTCGAATAACATATTCTGGTGAGAAACCACGACCCTGGAGCAATAGACTTATGGCATCTTTTAAATTGTAACCTCTAAAGAAACAAGCCATGTCAAGGAAAACTTCCTTCTCATTTCTTTTCAAACCATCATAGCTTATTTCTAGTTTTTTCTGAATATCTTCATCTGGAATTCTTTCATAGGTATCTAATGCTGCTTTCCATTCAGACAATGTTTTACCATATAAGTTAGAACCTAAAATTTCCAAAGCCAAAGGAAGGCCATTGGAATAAAGTATTGCACGCTTTGAGATATCCGTGTAACTTGAACCTACCTCATTGTTTTTAAAAGCATGCCAACTAAACAACTCAAGGGCTTCTTTGTAATCTAATCCTTCTGCCTCGTATGTTCTTTCAACACCATGTATGTGTAGCAAATGCTTATTCCTTGTTGTGATAATGATTTTGCTGCCGTAACCAAACCAAGAAAGATCTCCAGCAAGCGCATTTAAATGCTCCAATTTATCAACGTCATCAAGGATCAAAAGAACTTTCTTTCGTTGAAGCTTGCTTTTCAACACTGCCATTCCCCTATTAATGCTCCCCAACTTGATACTCTTCTCCCCAACTATTTCAGAAAGTATTGTCTCCTGAAGATGTACCAAGCCATACTTCATTGAATTTTCTCTAATGTCAGCAAGAAAACACTGACCTTCAAAATGATCAGCAATGAAATTATACACTGCACATGCGATTGTGGTTTTACCTATTCCCCCAACTCCATAAATCCCTACAATGCTTACTCCTTGATTGGATCCAACATTCAAAAGTGAGTTTACCTCTTGTACTCTAGAGTCCAATCCAACTGGATAATTAGCTACATGTAAAGGGCTACATTTTATCTTTTTGGACACCCCTTCAACAATCGTCTGAATAAATTTATATTCATACCTACCAAAATACAAAATATATATGACATCAACTCAAATGCATCAGATTCATGCCCAGTTTCATTCACAAATTCAAATGTGAGTATATCTTTGTCAAGGTGTCTTATGACTAAGGAAATTTTTTCCCTGGTGTTTTTTCAATTTTTGTTGAAATGCACAACAACTAAATCTTATCCCACTAGGTGAGGTCAGTTAAATATCATACAATGTCATTGAACTTAGTTAAAACTTAAGTTTTTAGAATTTTTTTGGTTGAAATATATATATATATATATATATATATATATATATTAAAAAAAAAAAAAACAGAATCAATACATGTAAAAGACAGGTCAGTACCCATGTTTGGTTTTGAAATCCCAACCAGATAAATTAGCCGCTTCTTGGAGGGCTAGCTTCCACTTTTGCACCCTCTCCTTGTCATTCTTGAATCTTTCTTCAAGCTTAGCGAATGCTTTTCCATAAGAACCTTTTTGATGCCTCACATAAGATGGACTCACTCCGTAAAAAATTGGCCAAACCAATCGACCCTTTTTCATTATGCACTCAAGGATTATGACAAGTTCTTCAAGACAATAAGTTGAGGAAGCATAGTTTTTAGAGAAAACAACAATGGCAATTCTAGATTGCTCAATTGCCTTAAAAAGAGCTGGCCTAATCTCTTCCCCCCTTGTAACCTCCTCATCATCTAGGAAGGTTTTGATTCCCCTGTCACAAAGAGATTTATAAAGGTTGCCAGTGAAGCCACTTCGAGTGTCATTGCCTCTAAAACTGAGGAAGACATCAAAAGCCCAGCCATGATTGGAAGAAGAGGAACTCATTCGCTGTATCATGAAAACTACTGTAACAACCTTGATGGGGAGCTTGTAGTTTCAGAAAAACGCAAAGAAACAAGTTGTGAAGCTTATGAAAGTGTTGGTAGGTGCTGCAATGAGTCAAAGCATTAAGTGAAGACCACAAGTTGATGATAGCATGCAATAGAACCAGTTACATGGGGAAAAAACTAAAGTAGACCTAAATAGTATTAGGAATATGCCAGACATTTTCGCCAATAATGTAATATTCATGAAGTTTCATTGCAGAGTGAACATGTAGTTGAAATATGCCATAAGTTTCATTGCTTCTATTACTTCAAAAAATTATTAAATAATTATTATGTTTTTAACATAATAAATATTATTTAATTATACTATAAAATCGACTGCCACTCTCTAAAATGCCTGCTCAACAAGAACCACTGAAGGAGAAAAGCACACACAAGTCAAAAGACCCATTAATTCAAGATAAGGCGCCGAAGTGAAGTAAGACAGCGCCAACAGCAAAACTCATTGAATCCGAATTCCAAATCTATGAAATGAAATCATCTACGAAATCGTGAGAACCCACACTAGCGAGTATGCTAATTGAAGAAAATATACTATATTTTCATGCTTCCGATCAGATTTGATAATAATAACGAAACTAAAAATTATTGAACACCTTTTCCCTAACTTTGAAATGATATGGAGTGGGTCCATATGGCAGCAAGTGAAAGTGATAATAATGATGAAAATATGGAGGAAATTGGTGTTAGAAGAAATGCTAATAATGGAGTATCTGAGTGAGAAGAGGGTGAACATGCCTGCACACAGCGATGAAATTCCAGAATCTTCACGTGTAGGATATATTTGACGTTAATGGACCTTTCCAGACGCCTTTTCCAGAACAAATTGGGAAAGCCCTAAACCAAGACCACGAACTGCGTCGCTTAAGAACAATGGTATGTACTACAGATAATAATAAACTCAGCTCAAACCTATCGGATGAATCAGTTCGCTCCCAAACCGGACAAATATTTAATAAATCATTTTTAAATTGTATCAGTATTTAATAAATTATTTTTAAATTGTATCAATATTACAATAATAATATTAAATATTATACTTTTTCCATAAATATTTTATTTTCATTTTTTATCATTTGATTTTTAAAAAAAAACTTATTAAAGAAAATTATCTTAAAGTACAACCTCTTTATTCTTTTTTATTCGTGTCATTTTTAGAATTTGAAAAATATTTTCTTAATTTTCTAATTATTTCATTATCTTGAAAAGGTGATTATTATTTTTTTAATTAACAAAAAAAATAAGTATGAACAAAATAAACTAAGGACGTGTTGAGAAATTTAAACACAAATTAACATGTTGATTATAATTTTTTTAATTTGTATATGAAAAATCTAAATGATCGATAAAAAAAATAAATTAAAGTAGCCGTTTCTTCACCCTCTTAGATAGCATTTGATAACAATACCAAACTGGTAAAATAATTTTTATATACGAGTATATTTTAAAATTTTTCACATAAAATAAAAATTTATAAAATATATAAATTATTTTTACAAACCCATCTAAAAATATCATAAATATTTTAAACATAACATAATATATTATGATAGTAAATATATATATATATATATATATATATATATATATAAAGAGAAAGAATGACTAAAGAAAATCTAAGTTTTAAGATTTTACTTAAAATATTATTTTATTTTTTAAATTTTCATATAAATAATAAACAGTTAAAAGTAATAACTAGTAACATAGACAAAAAATCATTAAAAAAAATTGAATGATCTCCCGTTATAACAAAATCTAAATTTTCAGTGGTATTATTTTGCTTAAGTAAATTTAGAGAAAAATATTGAAACAAGACTAAACACTCTTTAAATCTCTAAGAGATTTTGACTTTGCCATTTTTGTCCTTAAAAAATTAAAAATATCATGTTGATTCTAAACTCTCATCTCTGTCATTCATTTTAATCCTTGAATATAGATTCTGTTAACAATCAGTAACACAAAATTGACATGTCACGTTAAGTGCCATTTCAGAAGTCCAGTTAACTGAAACCATGTCATTTTAAAGGGATCTGAAAGTAAAGGTGACAAAACACTTGTAATAAGGTAACAATGAAGTTAGGATTTTTTCCTTAATTTGAAAATTTTAATTGTTCAATTTCGTCAGCAAACACCTCTTAACACTGTGTTTCTTTAATTTGTAGTAAAGCTTTGTTCTTGCATGAAAAAAATTGTAACTTTCTTATTTTTCCCTTATCTATAACAAGATTTGTTTGAAATTTGTAATAAAGAAAGCTTTTTTCTAGTTTGGTGATTGAAGCTATGATGGAGGAAGAGTGTTCAGATGCAATGAACCTTGATTTGAATCTAGGTCCAGGCCCAGAGCTACCAATGACAAGTTTCTAACATAGAGCCTTCTAACATAACATAGAGCCTTCTAACATTGTTTGAGTCTAAAACCTTTTGCTCTTCTTATTCTTGTAAGTTTTCAAAGGTTTCTAGGAAGAAGCTATAGTGGCCATTGAAAAAGAGAGAGAGAGAAAAGGTTATGGTTTCAGAAGTGAGAATTGAATGTAATTAGGAGCATTTGTTCAATTTCTTCCAACGACATTATTTTTGCTAATTACAAGTGTTTTGCCATGTTCATTTTCAGAACTGAACTGCTCAAAATGATGCTATTTCAGTCAACTGGATTTTTGACATGACACTTAATATAACATATTAGCTTTTCGTTACTATTTATTAATAGAGTCTACTTTTAAAGACTAAAATAAACTACAGAGATAAAAGTTAAAGACTAACATGATATTTTTTATTTTTCAAAAACTAAAATGTCAAACTCAAAATCTTTTGGGGACCAAAATGAGGATTTATTCTTGAAACAAAATCTGCAATCTTTGTTTAAGCAATAATAGCATAAAGGGGTTCCGTGCATGCAAATATACATGATTACATAGGCAGACTCTAGGTTATGAACACTCTTGAATACCCGTTAGAACCGATAAATAAAATTCTAGAAATTATTGAACCCAAGAACAGAGAGCTTGGACTTGATTGCAAGTAGCTCTGCCCTTGTCTCTTCTACTTTTGCTTAGCTTTATTAGGCTATCAAAGTACAAATCTGGCTTGATTTATTGGGAGTAGGACTGGTTGGTTAAAATACATTTGATGTTTCTCTGAACAAGTGAACAAATGAATATCAATTCTTCTACTTCCTTTCTTGGGTTTCGCTCACATTAGATGGACAGTGAGAGTTTAAAGCCTTGAAGGTTTGTTTGTTAGAGTTGCAAAGCTATTTAACGTGCCATGATGGTTTTAAGTTTTAACGTGGAGCCCCCTCTTATCCTTTACTTCTTATACTCAATGAGCAACCCATGTTTGATAAAGCAACAAAAGCTACTTGGCGAAACTGTATATATAGTTGAGATTCATCAAGTGTATGATTTAAAATCACGTGACTATAAATTTTCTAAAATGAATTTCAAGTGGCAGAGGAGGAGGTAAGGAATGTTGAAAGGAAGGGATTTTAGCAATCATAAAATTATTAGGCTGACTTCTTAAGGCGTGAAGGTTTCTTTGTTTGGCATTGAATCATGTTTAGACAATGTGAATGAAACTATGGAAGTGTGTAGGTATTTATATTTTGCTGATGTACAAAATACTGAAAAATGGGGTTGAAGAAGGAGAAGTATATGAAACTTTCCAATTTTTTCCTCGAGAGAAACCAATGTTGCTCAAGCAAATTTGAAACGGAGGTTTAGTTCTCGCCAGAGAGAATCTAAATAAAAAATATACATCATTTTTTTGCTTAAAAAAATAAAAATAAAATATCATTTGTAACTAGTAAACTTATTTCTATATATATAAATATAAAACTTTATGAATACTTTTAACCAGAATTGTTTTACATAATAATTATTTATAAACATTAAATTTTATTGATCTGTATGTTAAATTAAAAGTAAGAGGCGGTAAGCATTTGGACAAATTATGTTAGTAATATTTGTCGGACTTTGCATAAAGTTTGAGAAAAGTTATTCTTCTATTTTAACAAGAAAGTTTTTTATAATATAATTAAAAATACGCAAACGCATGAACTCATATCATAAATTTAACATTTTATTTATTCTTTTACGAGTATATCTTATTAAAATTATTCTTGTATATCATATTTTTATTTAAATTTTATATACAAAAATTAACTCTATTTAAAAAAAGTGAAAAAAATAATAAAATGATTTATTTATCATTATTTAACTAAATTAAAATAAAAGTGTTAAAAATCAAATTATTCAATTTAATTTAAACTATATTTTATTGGATCAAATTAAATTAGATTCTATTTTTCCTTTAAATTAATCCAAACTGAATACTATTATAATTTTATGATTGAATCAAATAACATCGATTCAATCCAATATGTAAACACCTTACATCCAAGAGATTTTCAGAGATACATAAAGCAACATTTTTTCTCTCTTTTAATCTTCCGTCTAAATATAAAAATATTCTAAAGCAATGATTTTTATACAAGAATTTATAACAGAGAAATGGATGAAATTTGGGAATAAAAAAGTGTGCCATTTTTCATTTTTAGACCATTATTAGAGAGAAAATGAAAAAGATGTATACTATTGAATTACCTAACGGCTCTAAGCGTGAAGATGGTGAAATTCTGAAAGTCAAGCTGAAAATTAAGTCTTTCCTATCTCACAAGGTATGAAACCTTACAAAGTACTTGACTTCGATAAATTTTAAGTAATTAAGTGATTCTTTTAGCCTTATTATAATTATGTCAAATTGCTTCGTTTATCTCCTTTGGAGAGATTTATTTCAAGGAAATCTTATTTCACTTTACCAAACTATTTTTTGTGAGAAAAAACTAGTGCTTGCCTTGAATAAGGAAGTTTCAAGTAAAAATATGACTTCATATGAATACTACAATACAAAAAATGAGTTTCACATCTATTTTTTTCTAGATGATGTTTTCTTCCCAAAGGTAAGAACTTTTTCGTGAAGATTATCTTTAATGTTTTGGTTAAATTTTGCAAGGCTTCAGAATTGAATGTGAATCTTCCGAAATCTAAAGCTTTGAACTTCAAAAATTATTTCCAAAAAAAAAATAAAATCAAATGTCATCTATCTTTTTCACTTCTTGCATTGAGCAATCTTTTAGATTTTACTGTTGACAAAATTTACAAGAGACTTGTGGGATGGAAAAGAAATACTCTTCATAAAACTAGGAGATTGATGTTGGCATCCTCTTCCGTTGCTTCCATTCTAAAATCAGAAACTGTGAAGGAAAAATTTTAGACAAGACATCAAACCCTTCAAGCTTACACATTACCATAAGATGTTAGACATTATGATATGCTCATGATCTGTGTGGTATATGTCTAAATGGTCTAAACATGTTAAAGACATGCATATATGCAAAAGTAAAATTAAAATCAAAACAAAAAAGCTTACTCCTAGTTATTATTAATCAACTCACATCCCTCTCTGACCAGTACGGTTTCAATTTTTCTAAATGCTCACTCACTTAAACGTGATATTGTTGTTTTTTGAAGAGAGAAGCATATTTAGTGACCTGTAATAGAGATATTTATAGAGCTTTATCTATTATAAAGTTCAAAACATGGAAACTTTGTGGAGAACCGCAAAATCTACACAAAATTAAAACGTGGATAAAGAGATTGAATATAACATGAAAAATGGACCATGTACACAAACTACATTCCTGAAAAATAAGAAACCAAATAAATATTCTCCCACTTAGTCCATTCATCGCATTATCAATCCTAACAAGAAACTAAATATATAAATAATGGTGGCAAGCCATCTAATAGTAAATATTATATCACATGTATTATAATATATCATGTCTCTCAACACTAACTTTTAACTTAATGAACAAACCACAAGTCTTATTCGTGCTATATGATCCTTAAAATTTTTTAGTAGAATGTCTTTAATCAG